TTTTACACAACACCTTCAAATGAACTGGTCCCACTAACATTAATACACGTTAAAAGAAACCTGCCAACTACCACCCCTTATTTATCTCCCTCTCTCACACACACACACCTACCAAATACATACACATAGATTTCTCTCTCTCTCTCTCTCTCTCTCTCTCTCTCTCTCTCTCTCTCTCTCACGCGGCACGTGCACACAGTTTCCACACATACACGTCTGTCTCTATCTCACGCCTCCCACCGGTGCACCACCGTCATCGTCGCCCGCACAACCACCGGTGCACCACCGTCATCATTGTCGCACAACCACCGGACTCGACAGACGCCGGCGTTCACCCGTCGCATCTGCCGCCGTTGAATCCGTCGCCATCGAAATTGCTCGCGACACCGACCTCCACGCCGGCGCTTTCACCCAAAATAGATCTCCCCTGCCAACTTTCGGCTTCTTTGTCGGCCGCCGGCCCGTCTCCGCTCAAGTGCCAGATACAAGCGACGCCGGTCTGTCCAATTTTCATCGCAGAATCCGGCCGCGCCGCTCGTCACCACTGTCCGCCTGCTGCTGCCAGAAACATACCGGCAAGTCACTGCCTTACTAATACCCTTTGTGCGACTAGCCGGCGTGCGTGAGGATCCATAGATGAGAATCGTTGGGGCGTGCAGTTGGGAATTAGATAGTGTCTAGGGGTTCATTTGCAATTTTTATAACTTTGATTATTTATAATTTAACCCCAGGTTAAATCTGTAATTAGTTTAAAAAATATATCATTCTTTATAAATTATGTATTTATGACCAACATGATATAAAAATTATATAAAAATGTTAATATGTTAAATATTTTTCTAATATAAACAATAATTATTCATATAATTTTTTTAATATAAATAATAATTATTTCGAATATTTAGGTTAATTCGGTTAACTAAATGAATACACCAATTATTTCGTTCGATTTAATTTAGACTTGCACATAAAAAAGTTTCGCAATGCAGATTGCACAATAATGATAAACAAGATGCATATTAGTGACAACAGGACTGCACAATAGCATTAAACTAAATGCACATATTAATACATTCAATATGCACGTTGGCTTAATAGTGTATACTAGTGTGCATTTTAAAATATATTAAGTTTCGATTATTTTTTTTAAAAAAAAGCATAATTGATTGAAGTATATAAAAAGAAATAGTATTTTGTATTTTATCTATATATATATATTATCTATTACAACAATAATATAAAACGTTGAATGAAGAAAATAATTTTAATAAATATAGTTTCATTATATAAATGATGCGATAAATGAAAAAATAATGTTAATTGAAATCAAATTATTAAAGTTTCTAAAATTGTAATGCACATAAAAAAATAGACCTCGACCTATAGACTGCATAATAACATTAGATGAGAGGCACATTATTGCGTGTAAGAATGCACATCATTGATTTCGATATTCCATTATTATGACATTTTAGTCGAAAAATAACATAAAGAATATAATATTAGAATACTAAATATATTTCTATAGTATAGCAAAATAAATCGTTCTGATTATTTACGTTAATTAAAGGTAACCCCTTGACTAAACCGAATATTATTTATTTATTGGTTTGATTTCGGACAAATTATTAATAAATCATGCATTGCACAATAGTACTAGATGCATTGCACATTAATGGCTATAAAATGCACAAAGAAGATCAACTAAATTTTTTCAACCAAAATATATTAAATTGTGCACTTTTTAAATGTGTAACAACATATTATGTATTTTTTTAATGTGCGTGGCTCTGGTTAATATTGTGCATTTTATTCAATGTAAATGTGTATTTATTAATCTTTCATTAAATTACATATTAGCCCCACTTACTAAAGTGCAAATATAATGAAGTAAAAAGTATTAATATTTCACAGTAGTCCCCTAAACAAGTCAAATTCTCAAAACATGTCCCTGCCCTAAATGTGTTCAGTCGGTCCAATACTGTTCATCGCCGCCGTACGCCGCCACCTACACGGCGGTTATCGACTTTGTCAGTCCTGTCCCCGCCACCGCGACGTTGTCGTACTCGATTCCGACCATGCCCGGCTGCAGTGGTATATTTGTGTCGCCGAGTTCCATCGACGGCTGCTCGCCGTTACCACTCCATCGTCGTCCGTGTCGTACTCACCCACCCC